AGGCTGTAGGCTCAACACCCTTTCGTGTTTTAACTCAGATTAGAAACTTTGGGGAACCGAGTGACCAGAGTTCGTGAATGGGGTGCATGGCGGTCAATGTCGACGAAGGAATTGGATTTAGAACGTATCAGAGCAAGTATCGTCCCAGCTGGACCGTAAGTGAGGTGGCGAGGTTACAAGCTTGATGTTGAACGGCGTCGTTGTCCTTGGCCGCCAGTGAGGCACTCCGTTTTGTTGGATCCATTGTTGGACCTTGCCAAAGGTTTTGAAACGAAGAAGCCTCAAGACACGTTGGACCCATATGCGTGTCTTCTTAGCATGTCGCTTGACACCCGCTTCCGCTTGGCAACAGTTTTGTTTCTTTCTTTCCTGCAGCAGTTGTGAAGCCGCCTTCGTAACTATGCGCTGTGTCGAAAACGGTGGCAATCTTAACTCGGAATGGCGACAACTAAGATTCGCCTAGAAACTGCACTGCTGGATTCTGCCTGAACGCTGGTGCTTGCCTTTTTGCACGCTGCACCAACATTGAAGACGTATGCAACTTGGTCGTTTAGAAACCTTCGCGAAAGGTGGATTCTGCATCTAATCAGTCTTTTCAGGCCATTTCTCCGGCTCGACTTTGTTCGTACTTTTTGTGGAACTTGAATCTGGTTTCATCAGAATTGAACATCTTTGACTTCTTCATTTTTTTGTCTTGTTGCCTTTTCCGCAGCAATATTTTTATTGTTTGTCCAATCTTGTCCTTTTAGACTTGAAAAAAAATTCTTCACCTTTTATGCTTGGAGAGTGTCAGAAATCCAGTTCTAAAAATGGATTTGGTTATTTTACCACATTTTCCAAAATGGATTTGGGTTTCTTTTCTTAAATCTTTTCTCCTTCGTTTTTAACACCCAAAGTCTTCTTGTGTGGCTTCTTCTTTTGTTTCAAGGGTTTTGAAAAAATGGACGGCAATGGAAGCCTCAGAAATGATTCCGCTGGAGTGATCATGAGAGGCAAGGAAATCTTGATGGAATTGCGTTGTGTTGATCTTACGTGTTTTGAGTACTCCTGCGGTTCTACACTCCACTGCCCAATTCATGTGTACAGTCCACAGCTGTGCTTGGCTGCAAACGTTTTTCAGCTGCGTCGTTTGCCTTCCGCCTTGGGGGCACGGGTCGAACCCATGGAGTGGTGTGTAATGTGGCTATCGTGCTGTTTGACGACGACTTATAAACGGTCTTAAAGAAGGCCCATCTTGGCTGAAGTTTTTTTTCCAAGGTCCGGACAACCTGAGGATCGATCTTGTCAGTGGTGTGCACAACCTTGGAATTCCGCATTGATTTTAGCCAACTTTGTCCTCTACACGCAACACGTTCGCTTGCTTGTGGAGTAGTTATCGGCAACCGCAGCTGTGGTTTACGTCATATTACAGACACGTGACTGTCGGAGCTTGCAGAAACGGGACACTTTATCAGTTTGTAAAAGTTCTGACGTTGTTGTTTAGAGAAGTTGCTCAGCTTCAGGTGTGGGTTTCAGCTCTGTGCCCGGGGAGATTCTTCACAAGCTGGGGGTATCATGCTTCTGTGATTTTTCTGCATTGCAAATTCACGCCGCCGTCCCACGCTAGTTTCTCGACCATGACCGTCCAAACTGAGGCGTTGGCAAAGTAAATGCATGTTCGGCTCAGTTGTTCAATTCCTCCGGAGGAGAAGCTGGAGAAGCCATGCGTCGCAGAAGCGTCCAAAGAAGAGACGCTGAAACCGAAGGCGGACCACAAGGAATCAACTGATCATGTTTTGTCTTGTTGCCGCATGCTAAGGACATGGACCGATCCACTTCAGACGATGATGAAGAAGATGTTGATGGACATCAGCATAAGGGCATCAGCTTAGATGATCTCAGCGATGATTGGGTCGAAGCTCAAATGAAGGATGTTACAGTGGCAGTGGCTCGGAAGCAGCTCAGCGAAGCAGCTGTACTGTGCAGCAGGCGTGCTGTCCAATTCGCACGATCTAAAGGATGTTGTCTCAGGTCATCGGCAATGTGGACAGCGGGAAGTCGACGTTGGTTGGAGTTCTCACCAAGGGTGGGTTGGACGATGGAAGGGGTCTGGCACGGGCCAAGGCACACGTTGGCATATTGCTGGAAATGTTTGGACATGTTTACGTGAAGCACGCCCGGTAGGTGCATCGACCTTGTAAGTGGTTCAGGTGTTTAATTTCTCGCACGAAGCAGCCAACGGCAGAACGAGCAGTATCGCACAGGACGATGCCAAAGTGCTGTTTCTTCACAGTGCTCTTCAAACACGCTCGCATTCATTTTGTGACTTGTCCTTTTTGGAGGAGATTATGGGCTTCTCGCCAACGGGGGAGCAGGCGGGTGTGAGGGTCGTTCGCCGCGGCAACAAGTCGAGTCGAGGCAAGCTGAAGAATCGTGAAAGCCAAACTCCAGGTGCTCATTGACAGAATGGGTACTTCCACGGCCAGTTCGCGAAATCAGACTTGGCAACAGGTCGGCGACATATGCACGAAATTTACATCTCTGCAGAACATGTGATGCTGTCCGAGCTCTGCATTAGCAGCCACGAACGTTGATCACAGGAAGGCAGCCTGAATGAGTCCGTGAATGCCTTGTGCAGGTGGTAAGCCAATCGGAAAGACTGGTGACCTTCAGCGACCTGTGTGGCCATGAAAAATACCTCAAGACTACCATCTTTGGATTGGTGGGGCAATGTCCCTGCCCTGATACCGTCATTTCAGCTTATTCAGCGCTGCATGTTCGCCACTGCAGGCCCGGACTACACGATGATCATAGTGAACGCTAATGCAGGCTTCCAGCGCATGTCGCGCGAGCACTTGGGAATTGCGCTTGCCTTGCGCATTCCGTTCTTCATCGTCATAACGAAGATTGACATCGCACCCCAGTTCTTTACCTGCAGATTGTGCTTGTGAACATATCGGTTGACAAGTCCAATGGGCATGAACCTAATGATTTAATGTTCTTCGAAGGAATGTCTTCGACGAGAATCTTGCACAGCTCCACAAGATCGTCAAGCTGGGAACTTGGCGCACTACATCCTGTCGCTTCTGCAAAGTCATGTCTCACAACATCGTCCATGATGTCCCCACCTTCAGAGGTCAAACGCAGTGAAACGGCAGCCTCTTGTGGTGACAAGCGATGACCAGTTGGAGCAAGCAGCCTCCGGAATCTACGGCAAACAGGCTGAGTTGTTTGGCGTGCTGTGGCAGTTGCTTTGATGTGAACTGTTCCGAGCACCTTAAGGAGACAGTTCGAGCATTGTTCGTGCAGGTGTGTCCCATGTTCTGCATTTCCAACGTAACGGGAGAGGGCCTGAAACTCACAGTTGCCGCTGATTTTTGCAGTCATTGCAGTCGACGTGGTGTAGTTCGTGACATGCACCTTGTTCTGGAGTGAAGGTCAGGCAGATCTTGCCTTCTTTGCTGTCCTTTCCTGTTTTGAGGGGCCCGAGATGAGGTCTTCCCCTGCTGCGTTCTTTCCTGCAACGGCTGCCATCAAGGCTACAGGAGTGGTTTCAGATTCGGGATAGTGATAGTGGGTATAGTGGTCGATTATCATCTCGTTGCTTCTGGGGGTAGACGCCCTTGTGTGACGAAGCGCGTTGCTGTAGGACAGCGGTCTCTTCAAACCACCAAGCAGTCGTTCGCCCAGATTTCTGGTGTTCAAACATGTTTGTGTGTCCCATCTCAGCTGAAGCCAAAGGTCCAGCTGAGTTTCACATTGACTCCATCTATGTCGTGCCTGGCGTTGGTCTGGTCGTTGGCGGTGTGGTTCGCCGCATCCCTGGCTTGGGCAATTCCTCAAAGGTGTGCTCTGTATGTGTGCGCTGTTCGTGCACAGGATCAGGCCGTATATGCCCTGGGCAGCATCTGCTTCTAGGTCCAGACAAAGTGAGCCAGCCGGGTGCCCGTTGCAGGAAGAGTTCCTCGAATGTTTCCGATGCATCTGGGCTTGCGTTTCTGTTCTTGACTCGATTTGCAAGGTTCAAGCCGGTTATGGTGGCTGCGCAGTGTTTACCAGCCCGTACTATGCAGAGAATTGTTGTTTTTCATGGCCGAATGCGTGGCCGGCTGTGTCAGTGCGAAGTTTAGTGCAATGTGGCATTTCTCACACATGTGTTGATCTGCCAGGTCAAAACCATTCAGTACAAGCGTGTCACTGTTGAAATGGCTGAGAGTGGTCAGTCCGGCACTCGGCATGTTTCTTGTGATTCAAACAAATGCTTGCTGTGATTCCCAAACATTGCGCAAAGCTTGGAGCATTGTGCTTGGACAAATTCACAGATAATTCACAGCATGTTTCAGGCACTGCAGCTTCGCTCTTCGTTCTCTGGTGAAGAGGGTGCCCATGTTCGGAAGCGGTGCATTTGCGTTTGCTTGCGCGAGGGGTGCCACTTCCACGTAAATCTGTGTTTCGCTGCAGGAGACTCTAAAGAAGAGCATGTTCAGAAAAGGCATGGCCGGACCCTCGGCCCCGAACCCTTCACCCGCTTGAGCACAGCAAGTGCGCAGCAAGTTGCTTGAGGTGATGCTCGGCCCGGAGCTGCAACCGAGGGCCATTTGGTCTTTCAAGGCTGAGGCCTGTGTGCATGTGCAAACTCCCCGTGCACGGCTTTCTCAACTTGAATCGCTGCCATCGAATGCTCAGCAGCTGTTCGTGGAGCGTCACCCCGCCAGCGCTGCTCCTCTGCTCTAGCCATGGTCATCAAAACAGACCTCTGCAACTACACGGAGTGCCCTGGATGGATTCCATGAGGCCAGCTTTCCGTTTCACGCATGCAACAGGTACAGAATCTACCCCGGCCACGGTCAAAAGTTCGTGGCGAAGGACGCAAAGGCATGCCATCCGAATCGAAGGCCTGAAATCCCAAGCAAACTGCTCTGGAGGTTAACTTCTTCATCTCAGCCAAGGCAGACTCCTTGTACCACCAGCGCATCAAGCCGGCCACTTGCCAGATTACTGACTGAAGTGGGCCTCCCGGAACATGTGTTCGTGATGTCTTTGCCAGGTCAAGCTCCGCTGGACTCAAGCCTGGCGTCGGCAGAACAAGAAGGGCAAGGTCGAAGAGGGCGGCAAAAAGAAAGCCCGCAAGGCTGCTTGCAGTCTTTGCTCGGCAAGAACACTTGAACCGCTTCAACCAGAGTGATCTTCAGGCGCAGAAGTTTCAGAAAGCAATTGTGGGCATGTCCTTGGATGATCTCAAGAAGAAGTGTCTTGTCGCACTCGCCTCGCATTGAGAGCCTTGACATGTTTTTCTCTCAGGAAAGCCATGAGGCCTGAGCTTCGCCAGGCACGGGAGCAGGCCGCAAAGGAGACCTGCTGGGATTCACAGGGGGACGCCTGAAAGTTCCAGAAATTGTCTGGGAACTTGCAATCTGTGCAGCGGCTCTATGCTCGGTCGAAGCAAGGCTGCAAGACTGCGTCTTGGCGTGGGCCGTGTACTGAGGAGGCCAAGGCCAAGCAGCAGGCAGACAAGAAAAAGGCAGCCTCCAGTGAGGAGCTCAGACCCGATGATTGTGCCTGCAGCCTTTGCCGGGAATTGTGATGTCGCTGAAAGGCAAGCCGGCAGTTGCCAAGGGGAAAGCCGACAAGGCCTGCGGTACCTGTACCAGAGCACTCGAAGACAAAATTTTCGTGCATCCCTCACCAAGCATCTTTCGCAGAGAGTTCGAAGCTCGTGCCTCATGTATGCACACGTGCCCCTAGTCGTCTAGAGGCTTCCGAAAGATCTTGGGCCAGAGCAGAGAACTAGTTCTCAAAACGGCGACGGATTGGGATGATGATAGGCGGATGTCCACTTGCACCGAATTCCACAAACTTCCACACCGAGTCAGTGCTTTGTGCTCAAGGGCCTGATTCCCTAGACAGGTAGTTGAGCGACAAACTGGTGCTTCAAAGTTTTGCGAGAAGCAGAAGCCACAAAGCAAGGCAATACTTGCAAAAGCAGCCCTGCCACGACTGCAGAGGCAGTTTCGCTTCAATGTGGATGCGGATGTGCAACCTTTTGCGACGCTACAGCAAGAGCACGACGCAAAATCACGGCTCGACGGACACATAGTTGGCATCCAAGCCGATCAGCACCGCATGTCACCAAGCGAGTTTGTCGGCGACCTTTTGTAGACGTTGCAGACCTTGGCCCGGTTGGCGTAGCGATTCTCGTTCTTTCAACCGAGGGACGTTTGTGCTCTCTTGCCATGAGCTCTTCACAAGTTCATTCGAGACTCGTGGAAGCAGATTGAGCTTCGGCGCACATCCCCTGTGGCAGGGGGCGAAGTTGCCGAAGGGTGGAGGTGCCCCAGCTGGTGGAGTCTTGGCCGGACCGTGTATGTGGCTCATAATCTAAAAGTTCCAAGCATGCCGACTCTTTCTGTCGCGGTCGTGAGGTTCCAAGAACTTCAAGGGCAAGAAGTGAGTGTAAATGAAAACACATCGTGCGCCACCACAGCTGCTATTGCGGAAGAAAAGTTGAAGGCTTTGTGTCGATTGGGTCGCAGTGTCACACGCAGAATGCACAAGAAGCTTCTGACATCGCCAGGCGTGGCTGTCAGCTGCAGCTGTTTGTGGCAAATTGTGGCATAGGTGTCCGAAGGTAGCAGAGCCATGGTCATCAAGACAGACCTGTGCAACTACACAGAGCACCCCTTCCAAGTGCTTGCTTAGAATCTCTGCGTGTGCACTTTAATTTTACAGTGCTGCTCAATGGAATGACGATCAACGACTGAGGTACAGGATCTACCCTGGACATGGTCAGAAGTTTGTGGCGAAGGACGCCAAGGCAACACTTGTAAAGAGCATGGCCGGCAATCTGGCTCTAGACTCACCATGTCATCATCTTATCTGGTCATGTCTGTTGTCTAGTAATGCTGTGGCTTGAGATGTTTGGCCTTCTGTGAATTATGCGGATGCACACATCATTCGAGATGCTCGTCGCACAATGATTTCGTCATGTGCTTCTGTGTCTGTCGTCGGATGCTGCAGCATCCATCTGCCTGTCTGCCTCCATGAACTCACGGAGCCTTGAAGGTCAACTTTTTCATTTCTGCCAAAGCGGACTCGCTGTACCACCAGCGCATCAAGCCAGCCGCCCTGCCGAACCCGGGATGCTTTCAGAGAAGATTTGGCAGCACCGGCAGCTTCTGGTACCGGCAGCGATGAAAGTAGAGATAAGCCTTGTGCGGGCTTCCCGTTTGTCCATTCGTGTGGTCAGCCGTGGGTCTGTGAGGTGAAGCTCCGCTGGACTCAAGCCTGGCGTCGGCAAAACAAGAAGGGCAAGGTCGAGGAGGGTGGCAAGAAGAAAGCCCGCAAGGCTGCGGGCAAACCTCGTTGATGTGTTGCACCTCCATGTTGCCTCCACAGGCCCAGAAGTTCCAGAAGGCTATCGTCGGCATGTCTCTGGATGACCTCAAAAAGAAGTGCCATAGCTGCACGCCCGGTCACTCGCAAAGTCTGACGGTCCAGCTTGGGTCGCCGTAAAGTAACCGTGTTTACACTTATAGTGGCTCTCTCGAGTTCGCATGAGGAAGGCGATGAGGCCCGAGCTGCGCCAGGCAAGGGAACAGGCTGCGAAGGTGGCGCAGGGATCGTAAGGGCCGGCAGGGCTCAGTCAGAATTTCCTCGGAGTGGCAAGGAGGCCAAAGCCAAGCAGCAGGCAGACAAGAAGAAGGCTTCCTCCAGCTGAGAGCTCAGCCGAGAAAGATGGCTCCTCGACTCTCCCGGACGCTCTCTCCGAGGCAAGCCTGCGGTAGCCAAGGGCAAGGCCGACAAGGACCGCCTGCAGAGCGCGCGCGCGCGCGCACGCGCGCACGCGCGCGATGCGAACGGCGCAGCCGCCCGCCCAGCTACCTTTGGCAGGGCGCGAAGCTTCCCAAGGGCGGAGGAGCGCCTGCTGGCGGTGCGGTGCCTACGGGAGTCTCTGCGCAGCGAGACGCGGATGGATGGAGAGCCGTCTTTGCATCGCTTGGAGGCTCCAAGAACTTCAAGGGCAAGAAGTGAGAGACACGAGATATCACACCAGCTGCTTCTGCGGAGATTCAAAAGATCATTCGATTCGGAGTGTGCGGCAACACATGAACGTGTGGACAGGTTGCTCACTTTGAAGCTTTGCTGCTGTGCTTCCTAAGAGCAAACAGGTAGTCATTTTACACCATGCCACCACCATCAGGGAAGGATACCAGGCAGGCAGATGCCTTTCTGAGAAGCTGTTCCAGCAGCTTTGGTTCCTTGCCAGGCCATGATCCATTGTGGCATCATTCGTGGCAGACTTACCATATCCTACCGTAACTTAGGCTGCATCGCGGCATTTTGCGAAGGCCAATGTGCGGCTGTCAAGAACATGTCCTGTGAATTGTTGCGCTCTGGAGACAAGGCAAGCCAGGTCTGAAGTCTAAAGTTGATCCAAGCCTGCATGGGCTTGGGCACAGGCCATCGTGACGTTCCGCTGGTGCTATCATGCGGAATATGTCTGTGCACCGCTTAGCTTGGCCGGCGTTGCTGCGTCCACGGATCGGCCAGCTGTAAGGTCTGGGTGAGACTCTTCTTTTCCGCGAGGGTCGCACCAAAGGCAGGCTGCCGACAGCATGATAAGAGTGGCAGAAAGACTTGTTGACAGCATACAGCACCTGAGTAGTCAGTAGTACTCGAACTCGAACTCTGTCAAGGTCCCCAGAGGCAAGTCAGGCTACTGCGAATTCTCGATACCTCCGGCCAATGTGCCTCTGGCACCTCACAGATCTTGAACCTTTACCCTTGGAAGCCCGATCGGAAACTAACGGCAACGGAAGTAGACTAAGCACCGGCGATTCAAGGACTCGCGATTCAAGACCGTCAACGATCCAAGCCCGTGATTTAAGAACTAATGCCGATTCCGGCAACCGCGATTTAAGCACGTGGGATGCGAGCACCCGCGGTTCAAGCAACAGCCGACGCGAACAGGGTGGCCGAGGGTTTCACGGTTGCGGGTTTCGGGTGTAAGGTCTCGAGTTCAGTTGATTGGGGCTATTCAGGGTTTTCAAATACTTAGACAGTCAGGGATGTTTCTTTTGCTTTAAGGGCTTCAGGGATGTATGATTAGAGGGAACTGGGCTTCCAAGGCTTTAGTTTAGGGTTTAGACGGTGGCTTTTAAGGTTTAGGGACTACGGGTGTGGAGTATGCACCGGCTGACAGGCCAGGCAAGCCGAGTTTTTCGGTTTCTGTGCTTGAGGGTTTTAGGCTTTGGGGTTTCAGGGTTTTTGCGGTATGGGGTTACATGTGAATGAATGTCCCATGTCACAACCCTAGCATCCTGATCTGCGATTCTCACGTCACGCTCCGTTGCAATTAGAGAGGAGGTGGAAACAGTCCTGGCTTGGAGCGATACACGCGATCGGCTGCACTTAGATGGGAAGTGAAAGCAATCACCGCAACATGGTTGCACTACGCAAACGGCATGCAAGGCTTTGAGCTGGCCAGAGCAAAAGGTAAAAGACAGACGTGCACTGAAGCGATGTGCTCAGCTTGCTCGTCTTGACAAGACGATCGGCCTTTCCCACAGTTTCACATTAGGGTTTAGGGTTTTCAGTTCCAAGGTCTGTCAAGGCGTTAGGGTTTGGAGGTGCCAGCCACCTAGGAAAACCTGAAATTTCGGGTCTAGCATCAGGGCTTTATAGGATTTGGGGGGTTCATGGTGCTGGTGCACGAATCCTCTGCGCGCTCATCTGCTTGCCCAGTTCGCGAGTCCCAAATTGCGGGAGCACGGGTCCCAGTGCCGAATACTCGGTGCGCAGATCATTCGGCCAGTGCGCGAATCGGCTGTTGCCTGTGCGCGGATCGGCCTTTCTATTGTGCATCCTGGCGTCGCTAGAAGGCAGCCTGCAGGCTGTTTACAGCAAATCAGAATGGCTTAACTTACGTAAGGCGAAATAAGTTCCGATCGGTGCATTGATGCGCACGGTCCTCCTCGCACTGCTTGTGCCCTTGAAAGTTCAACTGTATAGGGGCTGAAAGACCATGCCGGCCATCAGCCGTGGGAGTTGGTGAACTGAACGGCCATGTGAGTCGGGAGTTTGGTGCTGTCTCTATGTCTTAAAGGACTTCCCAGGTGAGTTTCCTGATCCGGACCACACCGCTTGCAATCTGAAAGTACCAGCTTCGAGGTCTCTCTTAGCTGGCTTTGCCACCCTGTCGCAGCATTTTGCTTTGGTGGCCAAGTGGTGAAACGATTCATCTTGCTGTGAGAGTCAGGTTTGGGCAAAATCGTGGAACTCGTGGACGATGCTTTCTGCGCCACGTCGCCGTCTGAAGTTTGACTGTGCCGCTGGCTGAAGGTACGTGCATGCCATCTTGAAGCATCGACTTGTAAGGTCCCGGGAGGTCGAAAAACCATGAAATGCATCGGCAGTGCGGCTTGTACAAAGTACCTTGTGTCCTGTAGACGCATGTATATTTCGGTAGGGAGCCCAGTCAGAGCCTCTGCTGCTGTCCCGACGTTGGGATTCAATGAAGTACTGGGTCGGCATCTTTGGAAGAGACTTTTGACGAGGATGGCACGATGGACAGCAGCTGAGCAAAGGGATCAGGCTCGAGGTGATCCTTCAGGCTTGGGTGTGAGAAGGTGTCTCTCACACTTAAGTGGTCATGTACAGGTGTGAACGTGCGTGGGTGCCGGAGAAGAGTGTTTGCCGAGAGCTGATCGTAGCTGGATGAATATGTCTGGAAAATCAACTAATCAACTACTGCTCTTTTGATGCATGGTCATGGCATGTTCGGGCTCTATCCACTCGCTGGCAGCAGTCATTTCCGACCAGCAGCAATTATGCCACTCCATAGTGATATCTTCGTCAGCCAGCAGAATGGCATGCTACGGCGGATTGCAGCGTGTGTCATGTCATGTCCAGGCGTCCAGCAGCATCCGTCGTGGTACCATGTTCCATATGCTACACCGGAATTCGAAATTACCTGCATGATCCACTGACCTGTGTGCGTGGCGTGGCTGCACAAGCCTCAAAGCAACCCTTCCTCGCTTGACGATCTGAGCACCCAACATGCTCCTCTCTGGCAGACCACGGAGTACCACGAAAGTTCAATGTTCTCCTGACTCCTGCCGCCAGGATGAAAGTGGTTCTGATAGGGGACAGTTCGGCATTACTGGCCCACTTATTTTGGAGGGGCAAAGGAATTTCAACAGCCTTGGCGACAGCATTGCGCCAGGTGGGAAAGTCTGCTCTGGTCTACCGGTTCATCAACAACACGTTTCTGTGCCGCAAGTCTTGGTCGGATAAGTGTGGAATTGCGAGGTCACGACTGCCATGCAGCAAGAGTGTCGAAGCGAATGCAGAAGCAAAAAGCCATGACGACAAGTGCGTGATGAGTGCAGGCTGCTGGCAGATCCCAAAGCTACCGTTGGCATCTCGTTCTTCAAGCAGCGTGGACCCCAAGAACTCTAGAGCAAAACGTGCCCGGATGAGTGAGAAACCCAGGACCCTGATGGACCCGCTGATGAACCAGCAATATCCTCTCCAAATATGGGTTCGGCACACAGCCTGGACATGCAGGAAGCTTGAAAGAGCCTTTCTTGCTAGGATACGGCCGGACAAGAGAAGTTCCAATCGGTCACTACGCAGTCTCCAGCTGAGTGTGATCGGAACCCATTACGGGCATGTCTGAGTTTGGCCGCGGCCCAGCATCTGTGTTGCGTGTCTGCCACTTCGAGCGAGCATCACTCGTGGACTCGGGGGGATATGGTGGCTGCTCTTGTCTACAGATGACATGACAAAGCCGACACAGTTCTCAAACGACATGTCAGGTTCCTTAGTCTGAATCAACTTGTTGGTGTAGGATGTGTTGCAGCGCGAATCATCAGAATGACTCCTGCCTTCCCGAGTCATTATCGGGCGGCCGACGGAGCGTTGCTCGTGTTCGACATCGCCAATGAGTGCCCCCCCACCACACGTCCAAGAGCCGCAAGCTTTAACTCCGCCTTGTCCAGACGTTCTTTCCAAAACTTGGACAAGTGGTTGGCAGAGCTGCGCGAGAATACCGATCCCAGTGCAGCTTGGCTGCGATATCGTGTTCAAAGCCCTTGGCTTTGCCCTGTGGCCCTGCCATTCCCTGACCCTGCGCAAAGGTGGTAGTTGCATTGGCCAGCTCCTCAACTTTCCTCTTCTCGGAGAAGAGAGGGGCCCTGTGGCTACAGGTCGGCACCAAGGCCGACCTTTCGGCTCAAAGAGCAGTGTCGACGGAGAGAGCACAAGGACTCGGCTTCGGGCCTTGCAGGTTCTGACCGGTCGCGAAGCGTCGCAGGGTCGCGTCGAAGCGTCGCAACTTCCAAGCGGAAGCTTCAGTGGAGAAGCACTTCGTCCGCGAAAACTCTGAAGCTGACAGGATATGCAAGAGGCAATGGACTTCTTTACGTGGACAGGGATGCTTCTTGTTGCAAACTTGCTGCAGTTGTCTCTTAGTTGCTCTTTCGGAGGTCTTGCCTTGCCTTGTCGCTCGGCTTCGTCAGGAGACCTCTGCCTACTGGAACAAATATGAGGGTGCAGAGAAGGCTCGAATGGACAGTTTGACGATACAAGTCTGCCGTGTGTGAGTGAGTATATCCGTCGACACAAGGACTTAGCCGTTGGTGTGGAGCAGATCTTCCTCAGACTAGTGCGAGGCTGGCTAGGGCTTCTGCAGGACTACGTGGTGACAAGCAAGACATGCGTCAGGCATCATACAGACACAGAAGGAGTTGGGCCGAAATCCAGCCCGACTTGACATGTCTGGCTATCCGGAGGCGCGGCATAGCATGCCATCATGGAACTGCACATGTGACTGCATATCCTCGACAGACTTGTCAAGTTAGTTGACCACTCTTCCCCATACGACAGATCTAGTCAGACTGCGCAGTCGGAGGCAATCAACCTTGAGGAAGAAGGCGCTGCACCGCATGCGGCACCTGTTGCAAGCACTGTTTGTCAGGGCCCGTCACGCTGGAGACACCCGCGTGCTAGCAGGACGCAGACGAGACAGCGAGTGCGCGTGCTAGTCCCTCGTCCAAGCCTCGTCTGTACACGTGGGCAAGTTGGCAGCATCCAGATGGGTTGGCATGCTTTCTGGCCGCAGCTATGAACCAGGGCTCAAACTTGGACTACATAGATGCTGCATGTGCGAGAAGCCAAATGTCAGGTAGATGTCGCATACCTTTGTGCATGCAGCAGATGGTAGGTATCCAGATTTTTTTTTGCAATTTAGCATCTTCCGGCTTCAGAGCCATGAGTGCTTTGTGGGCTGTTCCTGCACTTGGGCCCGCAGCACATCCGGCTCATCCAGGGCCAGTGCACGTCGTTCATGGTGTTACTACAGGTGTGGTAACACGCCAGGCCGTGACACAGCCTGTGCCACAAGGGCCTGCCGTGCCCGTGCCGACGCCACACATTCCGGTCTATGCACCGATGACAGGCGGTCCGTGTCACAGTGACATGTATGGACCAGCCGAGGCGCTGTATCCACTGCCGGCAGACCGTATCTATGCAGAGCCCTTTGGAGGTGAAGGATACGGGCAAATGCCGCAAGTGCGGCTTGCTCCCCACGCGTGGCCAGACGCCCAGGAAGACGAGTATTTCGAGGATCCGAATGATCCCCAGCAAGAACACTTCCAGCTGGGCGATGAGGCTGCCAATGTGAACGGGTCTTGGAGGACTCCATGGGAGGACACTGAGGACAACACCGAAATGCAATTCCTGGCCTTGCTGGAGTCATTGGAAGCTCGTGTGGACTTAATGTCGCAGATGCAGCAGACCAGGGCTGCCATCCAGCAGCAAGCTCAAAATGCCCAAAGGGGATTGCAGCACGACCACTCTGACCCAGAGCCGGAGCCCGACGTGTGGGAGAAGATCAAGGACCAGGATGGTCACATCTGCCGATTGAGTGAGGAAGTCACCGGTCTCCGCGAAAGGCTGCAGGGCTCACTTGCGATGAATGCTGCGCTGCAGCACCGTGAGCGTGTGGCCTCCGTTCTGCAGGCCTCCTCTCCTGAGCAGAGCTTTCCACTCAAGGAGCCCAGCGTACTCCTCCCATTCTGTCCAAAGGCTAGTGGGATCAACTTGGAGATTTCAGAGGATGGCTATACAGCCACACGGTTCCGTGGTTGCAGGCAGTCTGTGGCTGTGGGTACCGGCCCGGTGCCTCTCCAAGAGCACGGTCGCTACTTTGAGGTGACGGTGGAAGACACTGTTCCGGGCTGGGTTGGAGGTTTGGGCATTGGAGTTACGTCCTCGACTCCGCAAGGCCTGAAGCGAGTTCCCGATAAGGCCTGGCGCATTCCAAAGACCATGGTCATCGGCTACTGGGGCTGCGTCTTCGTTGATGGTTGCGAGCAAAGGACTGCGTGGCGTGCTGACAGTCTTCCCCCCAAAGCACGCGTTGGCTTCTTGGTAACGCGCGGTGGAGATCTTCTGGTCTTCGTGGATGGTGAGGCAGTAGTGAGAGTCGATGGTGCCGTAGAATCCCAAAAGGAGCCCCTCTACCCAGTCGTGGACGTCTTCGCAGCGACTCGTGTGGTCTCAATGTCACCGAGTGCTCGCCCTCCTACCAAGTCCTGGACCTCCCTCCATGCGCCCATTTCTGCAGCTGCAGTGAGAAAAACTGCCAATGCGGAACCAAACGGAATCGCAGCTAGAAATTGAATTTAGAGCCTTGGATGCAATGGCTGGAAAAAGAGAGGATTCTTGTTGCGAAGCTTGAACTCGTACTCGGATTTGCAAGGGCGCAGTGCTGAAGGCTGGTCTGCCTTTATCCCATCGTCTGGCTGTTGTGATAATCTCGCTGAGGTCGCGCTGTGTTTCACACCAATCTCGGTCCCTAGCATCTCTGGAAGCGGCCATGTGCAAAAAGCTGGTCCTTTTCAACTTCTTCGCGCCTTGAATTGAATGTGTACGCAAGTCTGCAAAGGGGGTCCTGGAACAGTGGCTGCAATGACGGAGGTGACGAAGAGTCAAAGGGCCGGGCTCGACCTGTCGAACTAGGAGTGCATAGACAACAAAACCCTTCGTGCATGTGTTCTATCTTGCCGACAGCCCTTGAAGCCTGCCTCGGAATTCCGCGCGAGCCTTCGCGACCTGCTTGGGCCATGCGTCGATGTTTCCAGATCTTTCTTGTGCTGCTGATCTCGCGGCACTTCTCGAGGCTCGTGGCATGAGATTGCTCATGGTGTCACAACTTGCTGGTAAGGCTGCAGAGCTGCTTTGCTCCTGGTGCAAGGCTTCCGAGAGTCTTCATCCAAAGTGAGGAGTTCCTGCTACAACGGCCACGACGCCAAGCTTTGGCTGGAGCTCTGCTGGCATCGATGGCGCCAACACCCCGTGCAGTAGCCGAGGAGAGAAGATGCAAGATGGCTCTTGTGCTCAGGTTTTCCGTGAACAGCTCTTCCTTAGTTGTTGAAGGTGGGCTCGGAGATTCAGGCGAGACGGGTTGTCATCGTGCACGGCTTGACCGGGTGGGGGAACAAGACACGTCCTGAGCCCTCTTGCTCGGCCAATCACAGCTCTTTCGCGAGGACCGGGTTCAGACTGCAGCCTCACCGGTGTCCGTTGGATTGATCGGTCTGAGACTTGGACATAGAGCGGAGCAGAGTCAGCAGAAAGATTGGGTGGATGCCCGAAGCATGCAGAAGCAGGTGACGAGCTTGTTTATCCTCGCTGGTTTGCTGGGACTTGGGCAACAGTCGGCGAGTTGCGACTTGGCGAGTTGTCAAGACACTGCTGTCTGATTCGAGAAAATCTATCGCTCTGGCCGTGCGAAGTTGAACGTGACAGGGAGTTCCATGATGCCTGGACAGTTTGTGTCGCCTGGCAGGTACAAGGTCGAGACGGGACCATTGGGCGAAAACGCTCTGTCCGCAGCCTTGCCGCGACCCTTGGTGCTCCGGTTACATGACACTCGCTCTGTCCGCGGAATTCCTCGCTAAGGCCAGGAACACCGGCCGCCATGCGAAAGAACAACGGTGCAGTTTCAAACCTAGCTTCCGAGCTCTTCCGACTAGCCTTGCAATTCGCCATGCTATGGCAGAGAGAAGCTAAGGTTGGTATGGAAGCCGGGGTGTTCCGAGCACGCAGGCGCTGGATGCCGACACAACGCCCCTCTCCGGAAGGTGGGGCCGGTGCAGAGGAAGACAGAGGGGGTGTTCCTGCTGGTGCTGCAGCAGCTGCCTATGCAGTGGGTGGTCCAGCACCAAGGCTTAAGAAAACCGACACGGAGGGGCTCTGGGAGGTAGCCGGGCGATGGAAGCTGCAAGCAGCTGGTGCAGTCGCACGGGCTGATCCAGAGATCCCTGGAGGGTTGCGTGTCTCCGAACTCTTTGAGCTCCGGCCACTGGATCAGGATAAGCTGTCTGCCGCGGTCCGCATCGTTACCATCTGGAAAGAGGCAAAGACAGAGGGCTCTGAGCAGTTGCAGATGGACCTGCGGGACATCGGCGAGTTTGACAAGTCACGAGGAAGACTTCTTCAGGCGGTGCAGGTGGCATATTTATTGCCTGAGCCGTCCTCCCCAAGCGAGAAGAACTTTGGAAGTGTGACCACCCGCTTCGTTTACAGCCCTATTCGTGGCTAGATGCTAGATGCTCATGAAGTGTAGCAGCACCGGGGGCGTTCCTGGTGTACGGAAAACGTATCTTGCGGAAAGAGTATTTGCAGATGTGCAGTCATTGACGGTCAAGAACTCTGGCTGCGTGGGACTTCTCCTCCGATGTGGCCCAAGTAAAGCCCCTCCGGCTTGAGAGCCCGATGCCTCCGAGGCCGGTGTCAGAAGCAACACCGGCTCATGCGGTATCGGCATCGGTGATACCGAAGCTTTAACCTCTGTCCCTATTTTTCCTTATCTGCAGGCGGAAGGGTCATGGCGGTGGCTATGGCGACTGGCAGGAGGACCGGCATGTTCTCCAGGGTGTCAGAGGGACATGTTGCATTTGGCCGGATGATACTTGAGATGTGGCTTCTGTCATGCAGGACCAAATCTCCATTGCTGTGAGCCAGGCACGTGGGAAGCAGCCCAGCATTACTTACATGCTGAATGTGTGACCCTGCAGTCTGCCAGTGTCCTGAACTCACTGAGCGTAGTTGCAGGCCCTGTCGCCGATACTTTCGAAAGAAACGGAGTGGGATCAGGCAAAGTTGGAGAAGAGGCAGCAGAAATCCGAGATCACATGTGCGGAAATCGGAGAGCGTAGCTAGTGTCTTTGGTGCCGCCATGCAGGGTGAAGCAGTACTTTAGAAATGCGGCGAAGGGTCTCGAGTTCTACTCGAAGACATGGTCGCGCTCTCAAGACGTGCAGTTGTTTTGCTGTGCCTTGCTATCCGAAGCTTTCGAAGCAGCTGGCGCTTGAGGGACACCCTGATCGAGGAATACTCGGACACAGTCTTTGCCTCGCTCTTTCAGGCTATGCGGGTCACGGGTCCAACATGGAGCAATGAAGCGCGGAGCAGAGCAAGAGGCGCTCAAGGATCGGCCCTGGCTAGTCGAAGTGGACTTTGTCATGGCCACTTGCACACACTGGCACTAAGATTGCTTTCGGCAGCCGATCTACTTATGGCATCAAGGTCTTTGATGCGGCAGTGAAAGAGATTTTTCCGAAGCAGCTGCTGAAGAACGCCATGTCCTAAGCCCGCGTTCCGTGCGGTGAACACGACGAGGGAAGTAAGCAAAAGGTGCCGCAGGTGACCTTCGAGAGCCAGGCCAGGCCACCAAGTCGAAGCTCAGTCTCCCCGGCTGTTGCCCTGGCTGTTGCCCCTGCTCCCGTGCAGATCTGTGCAGATCTGCAGGTTCTCCACGCGCACGACCGCGCTTTCGAGGCCCAGCTCCGGAAAAGTCGGCTTTTGCAACCCACGAAGCGAATCTCTCGCTCTCTCTGCATGGTCTGGTAGTTCCTGGTAGTTGGCAAGAACACCGACGTGTGGATGCTTTGTTTGTTTCATCCCTGCCTCCGTCGTTTGTGCGACCGCATGTTAATCAGAACGAATACCAGTCCTTGCGAGTTCAATCACGCTACTCCACTTCCACTCACTCCACTCGACCTTGGCCGGCGATGGAATTCGTACGAACGGTCTCAGTGATGGTCCGTCCCTGAAGCCTTTGCCCTCTGCCACAGTAGCGAAACGTCTCGAAGGAGCAGCGATTTGCTCCCATGCTCTGGGACATCCTTTTTGAAAAGGCCTGCAACCTAATGTGGCTTGGGGTGGGTGCAATAAGCAGCCTTCGCCATGATGATTGGCGCAGATTCAAGACAAGCCATTGAAGAACAAGATCTACAATGCATTTGAGGCCGGATGCAAATCGTCTTGATTGTGGGTGCTGTCTTGCCGTCCTGGCTACTGTCAGGCAGGCAGAAAAGAGGCTGCATTGTCCGGCGGAGAGGGGTCAAGTCCAGCCCAAGTCTTGGGCGAAAAGGGCCAAACTAATGCATGGAATCTCGTCGTTGTTGAGGCCGGAGGCTTTATTCAAGCCTGGGTCACTGCCTCCCTCCGAGAGCTGCAGCAAGGCCGGAAGGTCAAACAGGACTGAGATGCACCAGGAGCTCTGGGGTTTTTCTGACTTGGCTCATGAGGCCCTGCCCCGCTCGCTGAGCAGCTGTCGTGTTGGGCTCAGCATCGATGGGACCTCACGAGTGGTTGAACAACGGAGTTGCAGCAGGTTGCAGCTTCGAGTAGGTGTAGTCCACCCCGGCATGAATCTGAAGAGGGTGCGTGACACGTCAGAACCACCGTTGGTAAGCAGTACTGCTCAGCAAGAGGTCCTTTAGAGAGACTGGAGTTTTCCCCTCGAGGCCAGAGCTTTGCAAAGAGATCTTCCACGAGCTGCTGGAGGACATTCGCAGCATGTTCCCATCTGGTTCCGGGATGTTCCGGGTCTCTACTCCCTTCTACTGCCATGCAATGCTTTTCTCAGAACTCGAAGGCCGGCGCGTTGCCGCTCCACTTGACGAAGGAGTCAGGCCCAGAACTTATGGCGGGGATTGGCAGGGTTCGAACTTTGCGATGTGTGGCTTCCGGTAATTTCAGGAGTTCCGCCAGAGAGTGCGATGCTGATAGACTCCGTCGTGGAGGAATTGGGGCAGTCGTCTTTCCTGGAAGGCTTTCCATGCCTCGCTCCGATCGTAGGACGTGTACTCGGGACGTCTGGAGCTTCCGCCACCTTCAATTGGGAGAGGTGCTTCTGCCTTCCTTAGAGAGGTCTTGAGAAGATTTTCTCCAGCCAGGCAAAAGCAAAGCGGCTCAGCCCGATTGGCAAGCAGCAGCGCCATTCTCGGCAACTAAGCACAAGGACTGAAGTCAAAATGGATCGGGAGGATCGTTACGCTTCGCCAGTTCATGGGCATTTGGGCCAAGCGCAGATTGCAATGCTACTCTGAACACTTGCAAGTTGCAAGCACTTGAAAGCTCAGAGGCGCATGTGTACAGCCTTATAAGGCCTTATATATATATATATGTATTTGGTGCAGCGTCGCCCTCCCCCCCTTCCCCCCCCACCCCATGGTATCCCCCCATATCCCCCCTGTGGTGTGGTGTGGTGTGGTGGTGTGTTGTGGGTTTCTTCCCCTGTGGTGTGGTGGTGGGTTTTGGGT